GGGCGGGCTTCAGCGACATGGCACTCGGCGGGGGGGCGCTCCGGCGGCACAGCGTGAGGCGTGGCGCTCGGGGTGGGGGGGGCGGTTCCGGCGGCGTTTGGCGGGGGTGGGCTCGGCGGGGCGGCGCTTTCTTTTGCTGCTTGGGGCAGCAAAAAAGTTAGAGCTGGCCCTGCTCAGAAGTGAGATGAGAACACTGGATATTAGAAGCACAATTGTGCAGATCCATCACTAATCCACTGTAATATACAGGTACATTGAGGAAGAGGGTAAGAATATCCCATTAGAATACACTTATAGAAAAGTTACCCAGGGTTGTAAGCAGTTTATATGAATGTTGCTGATTGTAATTAGGAGGCCCTAATGTGAGCTACAGAAACAAGACAGTATTACAGGCTTGAATCTCAGAGGTGCTCAGCTTCCTGAACTCCTATTTACTCCAGTGGGAATGGCAGAGGCTTATCACTTCTTGGGATATCAGACCCTTGCTGATGTAATGCCCGTTTCTCAATTACCAACCAAAAGGAACGTTGTTATTGGAATTCAGTGCTCCAGGGAAAATATTGGGAGCTCCCACTCCTTCATTCACAAACAACAGTCAAATGTAATAATGACTGTGGAGTACATAATATACATTGTTCTCGTGTATCCTACTTTGGAAAAATCAGAGATTGCTGGTGAACCAGTGCACTCCAAAAACAAAATTTGCTCTAGGTGTCAGAGAAGTTGCTTCTCTATGCCAGACTCCTGTTACTCTCAATAAGCTTTCATTCATTCCCGCTTCTTCTTGAGGATGTGGGTCTGCATTTTCCATCCTCAAGTTCAGCAATTCTCAAACTGTGGGTTGGGACCCCATTTTAATGGGATCGCCAGGGCTTGCTTAGACTTCCTGGGCCCAAAGTCAAAACCCAAGCCTGAGGCTTTCAACCCTGGGCGACAGGGCTCAGGTTACAGTCCCCCTTCCTGGGGCTGAAGCCCTGGGGGCTTTGCCCTCCCTGCAGCGGCCCAGGGTTTGACTTTGGCCCTGTCACCTAGGGCAGTGGGGCTCAGGCAGGCTCAGACTTTGGCCCCCCTCCTGGGGTTGTGTAGTAACTTTTGTCGTCAGAAAGGGGTCGCGGTGCAGTGAAGTTTGAGAACCCCTGCTCTAGTTGGGTTGTTTTGTAGAACCACAGGACTTGGTTCTGCTTCTGTTGAAGTCAATGGTAAAGTTCCCCTGACTTCGATGGGAGCAAAATTGGAAACCCCTTTTATTTTAAAAGAACCCTGCAGTTATGGGGCGGGAGGGAGAGAGGGTTTTTTTTAAATGATCTCTCAGCCTGAATTGTCTTTTTTGGGGGGCTGGGGGGGAGGGAGAGAGTTATCTTTTCACTTTGGACTGTGCTTTTTGATTTTTCTCATGTGGCCACATTGATACCATTATTTAATATGAACTACGGGATAAAGATATGCAGCTTTCTGTTGTTGCTGCTGACTAGTGACCTGAACCAAGGGTAATACTCACATAAGTAAAGGTGACAGGATCAGGCCTTAGATGAGCTAGTTGAGTACCCTCCTCTCTAGAGACCAAGGATGAAATTCTGGTCCCACTGAAGTCAGTGAGTCCAGGATTTAACCCCAGATATGCTCCCTTCACATTTTTCAGTCTCCAACAGTACAAGCAGTTAAAATCAACTCCTAACCCAAGTTTACAGTACTGCAGCACACAACTGCCTCTATCAGAATTCCTCTTTCTTTATTTACAGGTCTTTAACCAGCTTGGCTCTTTACTCAATAAATGTGACATTTCTGTTCATCTGGTAGAGGTGAGCCCCAAACTAAGTGAGATCCAAGCGTTGACGCTCACAGGAGGGAAGATAGAATCAGAGCTTGATGTTACTTCCCCTGTCTACATGAAAGGCATTAGCAAGGCTGGAATTCCAATCTTCTGGTACCAAGAGCTGCAAGATGTACCACAAGGTAGTTATATATATATATATTTTTTAGTTGTAATGATGGCTTTCTTCACTCATTTGTAACCTTTTTATAACTGATAACTTCTCTGCAGTGTGGTTATGGATAGAAAAGTAATTCTGTATGAAATAACCCCTACTTCTTTTGTGAGCCTGAACAAGATTTGGGCCCAGATTTTCTTAAGTGGCCATGGATTCTGACATCCTCCATTTGTGGATGCCCATCTTGACACCCTTTGTGCCTGTTCTTCAGATGTGGTGAATGCCTGCAGGTCCCATTGACTTCATCTGCACTTCCTGCATACCAACAGGACTTCTGAAAATCAGGCTCAAGCTGGCAACCCAAAACAGGGGCATTCAAAGATAGTGGCCACTTTTAAAAATTTGGTCCTTAATGTATCTGTGCCTCAGTTAGATAAAATGGGAATAATAATAATTGCATCTCTCATAATGATGTTGACTAGCTGAATTCATTACTGTTTATAAAGTACATTTTGATTCCCAAGTGGAAGGCGTTAGAAGTACAAAGTACAATTGTTAATGTATTTTTATGTTGAAACACTGATGTCCTTTTTACACTTTTTTTTTTAAACAGGTACCAGCTTTTATTTAGCACATGAATTTTTTGATGCCTTGCCAATACATAAATTTCAGGTACATCTAGAAGCCCGTTGTGTGTGACTTTCTGTTTAAGGGATGTGTGGTATATGGAAAAATAAAACTCATTACCAAGCCAGACTGGGGCTTGTTTACTAACCCCACCAATTACAGAAATATATATTCAATTGTAACTGAAGAAAAATTAGGATTGAAAAGATACTATGTTGTATGTATGTTTTATTGAAAAAATAAAGAGAGACTTCTAAGGTTTTAGGAGAAACTTAAATCTTTCTAGATTCTTATAGGAATAGTTTGCTTAGATAACTTGAATAAAATTATGGAGATGGGAGTTTATATGAATTTGGCAATAAAGTGACAACTCTTAAACTTACTCCTCCATGGATGTACTTAAGCCTGCATTTATTGACCTTAAGGGCATTCTACCAGACCAATTTCCCAGGCTTTCCCTAAAAGGCAGTTGGCTGGTGGTTCTGGTCCAATGTATATTTGATATTGTTATAAAAATGTACAAGCATCTCTGTGTTTTGATAAATCTTTAGTTCAAGCTAATAGATACAGAGGCTAATGAGTTCTGATGGGCTACAGTTTGGAACATCAAATAAATATTTTTGGTTTATTAAACAGAGAACAGAACAAGGATGGCGTGAAGTGTTGATTGATATAGATCCAAAAGCTCCTGACCAACTGCGGTTTGTTCTGGCACCATCTGCCACGCCTGCTACAGAATACTTCATCCAGGTACGATTATGTCTACCTGAATTACATCAGATTAGCACTGCCCTATTCTTTCAAGCATTGGCTCTTCAGTTATTTCTGTGATTCCCAGAACATCTTCATCTGAGAATCTACTATTTCATACTATATCAGCGGGTGAGTTTGTTAGCCTCATATAAATCACTGCACAGTTTTAAGTTTTATTGTTGCAGGAAAAATGTTGAGCTTTGTTCCTCATGAGTAGTAAGTAGGAGCATTTAATAGTTACAAAACCTTACCGTCAACCTACCTCTCCTTTTCCAAATGTAATGCTGGCTGTGACGGTGCTGGCAAAAGACTGTTTGCTCATGTGAACGTTTAAGCTAGTACGTCTTTGTGAAATTAGTGCATTATGGTGTTTGGTTTGCATTACAGTAGCTCTTGGCCCTCTTCTGTATGTACACCTACTAAAAGACAGTTCCTGCCCTAGAGAGCTTACACTATAAGGTTCTGATCCTGAAAAGTCTTGCAGGTGCTTAACTTTATGCACTCTGAGTGGGGTTCAATGGGACTTCACATAGGGCATAAAGTTAAACACATGCACCAGCCTTTGTGGAGCTGCGGCCTAAATAGACAAAGTATCAGTTTATAGATGGGGATCTGAGGCAGAGGGACACAAAATGCTAAACAGGAAATCTTTGGCAGAGCTGGCACTTGAAACCAGACTTCCTGAGGCCCAGGCTAGCATGTTACCTCCAAAACCATCCCTCCCTGTTACTTGCTCTGATTCAGCAGTCTTAAGCATATTATTGGTACCTGTCGGTACATATTAATCCTGTAAGTGCTTCTTTGAATATTAATTTCATTTACATGTTAACTATTCTCTCAAAATCTTTCCAGTACTGAGTGTGTATTTGGATATTAAGTCTAGAGTGTTTGGTCCATAACCTGTGGGTGACCTATATTCTGCAATTTCTAATGATTGAGCATTAGACTATAATCCATCCTGGCACCTCCAAGTCTATGGGAAAATAGATGTCCAGGAAAGAGAGCCCCTCAAATTACCCAAAATGGCTACAGAATATAAGCAGGATTGCTTGATGGATCAGGAGCAACTGTTATTGCAGATGCTTTCTGCAATGATGAAATGGGGGTCAATTAAAAAATGTTTTTGGCAGTGGCTGGTTGTCCTAGCTGCTAGAAATAATGATGAGATAAGAATTGGTTTTTTGCTTATCAATCCTGTAACAAAGATACAATAAAGGAAATTCCATAAGTAATGACAAATGAAAACCTTAAAACATATGGCAAAATCAATCATGGGAAAGTATTTTTCCATATACAAAAGGGGTTTGTTTGTCTCACACCCTATGAAAAATAGAGGGGTTGGAGAATGCAAAACTACTGGTATCTTACCAGTTTCAGAAGGGAGAGAGAGGCAGAGGCCAGCTTTTTACTTTACGCCAAGGGTGATAATGTATCTATTCTTTCTGTATTATGTACTACATAGTGCTGTAGTAATCTGATTAATTATCTTTGATTAAATTCTATTTGATCCTGTTATTTGACAGTCTTGAATCATTAAATTCAGATGTGCAACAGTATGCTTCAGTGTTCTGCTGAAATGGGGTTAGATATGCCCATTACAGTATTTAAGTGATTATAACTGCATTTTTCTAAACCAGGGTCAGCTTTTAAAAACAAAGCTACATTTTCTGAGTGAAGCAAAATTTCCAACTTAAAACTACTTACAAAAATATTTTTGGGTTAAGACCATAAGGTGAGACATTTCATCTGAGGAGGTTCTTTTGTGAGAGAGACGTAGCTGAAGTAGTATTTTCAATCTCCAATTAGAATGGCATAGTAATGACAACCTGATGCTAGTATTCATTTTCATTAGAGAATTTTCCTTGTAACACTCTGGGGCAGGTAGATGGGGAAGTTGAGTAGTACAGTGGGTTTTTTCCACTACTTCTCTATCACCACAATACACTTCCCATATAAATTATTAACTGAAGAAAGCATTGGCCGAAACCAGCTCAAGAAACTGCTAGGGTAACCTAGAGCCGCTGAATATGGGGTATGACCCATGTACGACAAAACAATCCGACAACAGGTACAAGTCAGAAAAACTAAACTTTTTTGCTCTAAATCAGCTCGTTACTTTTTGTGTGCTGATTTATGCATTTCATCCTTACATCCTGCATTAGGATAAAGAAGAAAGAGATCACGTGGAAGTATGTCCTGATGCTGGCATCCTCATTCAGAGACTTGCCTGTCGTATTCAAGAGGATGGGGGAGCTGCACTGATTGCTGATTATGGTCACAATGGAAATAAGACTGACACTTTCAGGGTAAGTTTGATAGTTAAAATGCTCAGTTAACTTTCACTCCTTACTGCATAAGTAGATCAATGACTATAGAAAGTAGCCAAAGTTCTGAAAGAGATTTGCTCAAGAAAGACCTATGACTAAAAGCCATTAACCTCCTTACTATGCAGCAGTCAGTGAAACTACTTTTGGGTGATGGACGGCTTACACAAGTAGAAGTTGCAGAATTGGGCTCTAAACAAATATGGGGGGAAGGGATGAGTGAGGTGGGCCCTTGATTCTATCGTCAGTGAGTTTTTGTTTATGCAATTGGAGAAAGTAAACTTTAAAAACACAATTTGCCTGTCATGTATTATTCCTTCTGGTATTTTTGGCCTAAAGAGAGACTGCCACCTACATGTGCACTGGCTTAAGTTATCTTGTAACTTCATTTTTCAGAGTTTCCGCAGTCATCAACTTCATGATGCATTAATAGCTCCAGGTACAGCAGACCTGACAGCAGATGTTGACTTCAGCTATCTCCGAACCATGACACAGGGAAGAGTAGCCACATTGGGACCACTAAAGCAACAGGAATTCTTAAAGAATATGGGTATTGATGTCCGGCTGCAGGTAGGGTTTAGTGATTGCATGTAGACACTATTACTAATGCACAATCACCTCATAATGGCATAGAGAGTACACTTATAAAGTTTGTGGATGATACCAAGCTGGGAGGAGTTGCAAGTGCTTTGGAGGATAGGATTAAAATTCAAAATGCTCTGGACAAACCATCTGAAGTAAATAGGATGAAATTCAATAAGGACAAATGCAAAGTACTTCACTTAGGAAGGAACAGTTGCACACATACAAAATGGGAAATGACTGTCTAGGAAGGAGTACGGTGGAAAGGGATCTGGGGGTCATAGTGGGTCACAAGCTAAATATGAGTCAACAGTGTAATACTGTTGCAAAAAAAGCAATCATCATTCTGGGATGTATTAGGAGTATTGTAAGCAAGACATGAGAAATAATTCTTCCACTCTACTCTGTGCTGATTAAGCCTCAACTGGAGTCTTGTGTCCAATTCTGGGCATCACATTTCAGGAAAGATGTCAACACATTGGAGAAAGTCCAGAGAAGAGCAACAAAAATGATTAAAGGTCTAGAAAACATGACTTATGAGGGAAGATTGAAGGGACATAAGTTTAAGTACATAAAAGGTTGTTACAAGGAGGAAGGAGAAAAATTATTGTTCTTAACCTCTGAGGATAGGACAAGAAAAACTTAACGGTCAAAGTGGTTAAGCACTGGAATAAATTGCTTAGGGAGGTTGTAGGATCTCCATCATTGGGGATTTTTAAGAGCAGTTTGGACAAACACCTGTCAGGGATGGTCTAGATAATACTTAGTCCTGCCTTGAGTGCAGGGGACTGGACTAGATGTCCTCTTGAGGTCTCGAGCATATGCTTCTGCTACAGTAAGCATTCATTAAAAGTAGGTTTTATGTAAAAACCTTGTTTCTATATACTGTCACTTGGTTGCAAGTTTTATTAAAATTTAATTTTTAATTATGATCTGCAATCAATGGTGTTTTATATTTTAAAAGTAATTTGTGGTAACACTTAGTTATATTCCGTTCAGTATAAGGCCCCATTTGGATCTCACTAGTTATACCCAGATTCTGGTCTCCTGATCTTCCTAGGGTAGAAGGGTTATTTGTGGGAGAGGAGGAACAGAAGTAAAGGCATAATGAACATTGTTTCTTTCAGGTGCTATTGCAAAATTCAAGTGACACAGCAATGCACAAACACTTGCTTCAAGGCTATGATATGTTAATGAATCCTAAGAAAATGGGAGACCGCTTTCATTTTTTTGCCCTGCTGCCTCATCAGAGACTTGCACATTCTGATCAGAAAGTGAATCTACAACACTCAAAATCTCTTTCCGCACCTGTTGCTGGATTTGGTGAACTTATCTGGAAATAAAGCCAAAGATTAGACACTGTATAATTGATGGGAGCCTGCCAGTAACTATTAAAGTCACAACAAAGAAAATGAAGTCTATGCATTTTATAGTTTTACATATTCAAGAAAACAAACTTTTCTTGTAATGGATCACTTGTCTGTATGCAACCAGGATTTATTTAACCGGGTTATGCACTGCCTTTGTGCTGATGTACAAGCACAGGAAATGTACCATCATTCTGGCCTGCTGCTTCCCAAGACAGCTTCTTTGTGCCTCCATCTTAGGTACGTACCTGTGGTTTCCTTGGAACCTGAGGCAGCATTAAAGGCCCAAAGATTTCTCCCCAGATTCTCAGCGATTTCCCTGGTTACACCCCTCTTAACTGTAGCCCTCCATTACACCTCAAACAGGCTGCAGTGATAAATCTATATGATGCTCATCTGTTGTGGGTAACTGGGCTACTGTAATTAACTAGAATGACCTGTGTTGTGTATAAGCTAACATCAAACTGAACAAATTTGAGCAGTTCCTATACAAGAAAGGTATACACAGTAAATGAGCAAACTGTTTGTTCCAGTGGATTTTCACTTTTAACACTTTGATTGTGAATGACATACCTGTGAAATCAGGTTTTACTGTACTTATTAGTTGACTTACAGCCATTATCACCGACTGCAGGGGTGCCCAACAGCCCACCAGAGCATTTCTTAAGGCCTAGGGTCTGCATCAACACAATACTAACAGCCAATGCAGTGTAAACTAAAATGATGTAAACATAACACTAATGATTTCTTGTTTTTAAATAGGTTGTTTCTATGTACAGTATTGTCTAAATACATATGTAACAAGCAGAACTTAAATATAAATCAATAGAGGTGACTGTAAATCTTATTAAAATATGTAGAATCTTTTGACCTACCCAAGGTTGTGTGTGGGTTTACATGGCCCTCCTGTGTAATAAAGTTGACCACCACTGACCTAATGGACAAAAAAGTTAATTACTACAGTCCCAGGAGTCTCACTTCTCCTTTCCTGGGAGAAAGCTGACACACTTCTATGGTTGAAATTTTCTCAGTGCAACTGGTCCAAAGTGGAATGAAAATGTTGCCTTCTAAGGCACACATGTATATGTAGGTGGTGTCAACTGCAACAAAAGGTTAGGTGAATAAATCACTTTACAATGGAAACCTTTTATGGTACAGCCAGTAAATAGTATTCATTTGGCCACATTTTCCTACTGCTTGCTACATTCTGGGTGTACTTTTAACAGTAAAGTTACATTCATGCTGCAATAGAATACACCTTGATATGTTTATTTTACTTTTCCCACTATTCTAGTGCTTACACTGTTACTGCCTATTCTGTAAGAATTTAAACACAAACGAAGGAATGACTAAGTGAAAAAGAAATAGCTGAACTATGACAGTTCTAGAAGGTGAAAGAAAAATTGCGTAACAACTTTGGCTATTAGGAGGTACTGTCAAAAAGATATCATACTTGACCTACGTTAACATTGTTTGATGTAATAAGACATTTGGGGAATGTCCTGTGGATTCTAACTAAGTATATTTGTTTAAAACCCAGCACTCCTTGTCAGTAATTCTCTTAATCCATTTTGAAAAAGTCAAATGTTTTGAAAGATCTGAAGGGGGGGAGGAGGGGAGTAGTACACCGTTGGCAGCAGCTGTGCTCACATCAGTGATCCCAGCACACAAACAAGTAAGTACACAGAGACGTTTTCAAGGACATTTTAACACAGGTGAAGGAAGGGAATCCATGTAAATGGAGGACGACAAATCTGATAGGGAAATAAATTTTATTTTCAAGCTTAGAGGATATTTACAAAACAATGGGATGTATAAAAATATAAAAAAGTACTTGACAGTGTCCTTTTGAGGCTACAAATTTTACTTGAGCTTTTTCTAGCATCAACAAAGCACTATTTCTTGCATGAATGCAACTTCTTAATTCAAAACAGATTAATGATTATGTAGCACTGGGTACAAATTCATCTGGAGCAACTGATTATTATAACTCCAGGTTCTTAGTTAGTGACTTAAAGCTTAAAATTTAATAAAAAAGGTTTTAGGCTTTCATTAAAAAAGTTAGAGTGCAAGCTGTGCAATTCATTTCATGGCTTGTAAAATGTGTGTGATAACTATCAGAGTAATACAAATGTTCCAGTTATTTTTCATCTTAAGCATCAAGCCACAACAGGGTGTGTATTGCTACAGTATTGGCCCGTGCCATAGGTGTTCTGAGGCCTGAAGTATTTGACTCATCTTAATAGTGTAGCAGTGATCCTGGAATGCACATGCTTAATTTATTGCTATTAGAATATTGCTACTTAATTTTAAAATTCATTAGTTTTAAAATCATGGGTGAGGATTTTAAACAACATCTCCTACTGCTATGGAATTCACTATAGAAGGATTAGACAAAAAGGGCAACAAATTTGGAGCACACTTTTACTTCCAGTGTATGGGGGGGAGGGGAAATCCTCAACTTCCACTATCTGCTTCTAACCCCAGGAGTCCAAATGGCTTTAACAGTTTGTGCTCCAAAAGCCAATTTCAATTCTCATTTTGTTTTTAAACCTAAATTGGGAATACTGAATAGGTCTTATTTTGTGTTTTAAAATAGAAACAGACTTCACAGGGGTGGAGGGAGGGTAGTTAGGCCTCTTCATTTCATGGATACAACCCTCTCCTCCAACCCTAAGCACATAAGAATGGCCACACTAGGTCAGACCAAGGGTCCATCTTGCCCAATATCCTGTCTTCCTCCAGTGGCCAACGCCAGGTGCCCCAGAGGGAATGAACAGAACAGATAATCATCAAGTGATCCATCCCCTGTCGCCCATTCCCAGCTTCTGGCAAACAGAGGCTAGGGACATCATCCCTGCCCATCCTGGCTATAAGAATGGCCAAAAGCTATTGTGCTTTTCAAGCAACTGCCCTGCTTTAAAGATGTTTATTTAAATGTAATTGGAAGTCCTGAAATGCCTCAACTCAGAAGTGTTTGAAAGTCCAACCATATCTGAAGCACTACAATCATAAGAGGCCCGGTGCCCAAATTTCAGAGGTGCTAGAGAAATGATGGCAGCTAGAAGAGAAAGTGTCACTTCCCTCTCCAAGCCTGGATGTGACAATCTTTACAGGAAATTAGGCCAACACTAAGCCAATGATTTCACAGGTGATCAGGCCATTTCAAAAATTAAAACTACAATTGAATTAGCATACAAGCTGTTTCAATGCTCTCTGTGGAGGGACCAATCCTGAAATCTCCCCTCAATGAGGCCGCAAGGTTAAGGGGGCAGATTCTGTCTCCTACTACAATTCCTTTACACTCTTCCAGCACCACAAAAGGGAAAGGACAATCCCCTGGAGAATTCCCCAAATGCAGGAGTGGTACGGGCAGCTCTACTCACCCACCCTGATTTTGATAATTACAATTAAAAATATTTTAGTCAGCCTACAAAAACGTTACCTCACCTAGAAGAGTAAGGAGACCCCGAAAGGCTTCAATTACCTTTGCAACCAAAACCTACAGGATTTACATTTTAAAAAAATATAAGGACACTACCCAAAGCCAAGTTATTAGCTAGTTGGACCTATCTGGGAGATGCACAGCCTTGCATCAACTCCCAATAATACATGGCTGAAATTTCATCAGAAACTCACAACTTTAAGTAAATGGAGACCTCCATTTAATATAGCGGGCATAAGGCTTTCTTCTTGAAACATGGCCGACTTTAACTGCCCAACTATCTTCCTGCACCATCATTTCAGAAGGAAACTTCTGCTTCCCTCTCCATTTGGCCACAGTTCTCAAGATGTGGCTAGGTATGTTTAAACGGAAGTTTCTGTTAAGAAGCTGAATTAAGAGTTGGGTTTAGAATTCCTAATTCAGTTTCATAATCTGTAAAGTTAGGAAGTGGGGAAGGGGTGGAATTGCAGGTTAAAGACTGGAAGGCTGAAATAGGAGGCAATGCCTCTTCCTCCTGTTAGTTCATGAATCCAGCTGCCCCGTTGGCAACAGTTTGTGGCGCAACGGCCCCTTTAACTCATGCTCAATTTTGATTTTTTCAGCAGGACTCCTAATTTAGTTTGTTCAACAGAAAATGAGGATTGAGAGTTGCCATCAGGCCACAAACTACTGCAGACAGGCTGAGTCCGGGGAACCTAAAATGAACATAAAATATGTTTTTCAAAGTTATTCAAAACAGTAGAGGAAAAGTGTTTATACTTTTCTTTACTATTTTGCATATCCTGCTAGAAACTATTTTTCCACCGTGGAAGGATATGCTACATAAAAGTGTGTATGCTATTTGTGCACTACTTTGGTGATTTTAAGACAAAACGCCTTTGATACACACCAAAGAGACATCCCAATCTTGCATATTAATGCACACCCTGTTGTGGTTTATTGCTCTATTGTAAGAGACAACGTTGAGGGCTACCACAGCTTTTTGATTGTCAGTTGGCATTCAACAGAAGTATGAAATCCGGTGTTACTGTCTTATCTTCAGACATCTGGAGAAAGATCCTTCAATTCTACCAGGGCAAAGAAAGTCAAGCATTCAACTGCTTAAAACAGCGGCAAACGAGCATGTTCCTTTACCTTTATTGTTTTTGCATACCTGTCAAACATTCAGTCTTTTAAATTAGTCCTACTCCAGCATTTTCTGTTGTGATTTGGTCAAGGTATACGGTTTTGATTTCTTTTTACAGCCTCTTTCCACAATGTACAAACTAGGAAAGTGGAGATGTATCTAAATACCAGAAAACAGTACTCTATGGCTTAGTAAATAAGGGACTAGGAAACCATAAAAAAATTGTTTCGTTATTGCATAGGCTACAAAAAACACAGAAAACTCACACCATGCATTCAGTCTGTATGCATTACACCTCAGTAACATCGTCCGTAACCATACAGCTAGTGAAATGTTACCCAAGTTGCTTATCCCATTGCCAGATCACATTTCATAGTTCAAGAAATTAGAGATGAAGAAAAACTTGTTAGGTCATTTTGCTCATCCACCTGCCAGTGCAGGATCCTTCATGGTTTTGTAGATTGAATCATCTGAACAACATTCAAAGAGCAATATCTGTCCAGAAAAGTATCAACATCAGTTTCTATCTGAAGCTCCCTTCTGTAATGAAGTTAGCATGGTGAATATTAAGGGTCTTCTTCCATATCATCTGGATTCGGGGCCATAATGAAATGTTTGGGGTACACAAGGTTGTGTTCATAAGCATGTTCTTCCCAGCGAGCATCATCACTCTCATGGGTAATGTAACGCTCTCCAATGCGAGTTTCAAACTCTCTAAGGTCAAGCCAAGTCTGATAATCCTTTAAAAAAATTAAGGTGAATGGTTTATGAAACCCATGGCAGCACAACAGTCATAAATATCCAGTTAGCAATTCAATACTTTCACTTTAATGTGACTAGGTGACTACAGACAAAAAGATATAGTGCAAACCCAAACAGGATTAGGTTCACCTGAAGGGGCTTGAGTTGAAATAAATTAAATCCTTCTGGTTTCAGTAAAAGTACTACACCTCTACCTCGATAGAACGCTGTCCTCGGGAGCCAAAAAATCTTACCGCGTTATAGGTAAAACTGTGTTATATTGAACTTGCTTTGATCCACCGGAGTGCGCAGCCCCGCCCCCCGAGCACTGCTTTACCGCATTATATCCGAATTCGTGTTATATGGGTAGCGTTATATCGAGGTAGATGTGTATTACGTACAATTTACGAAAATGTAATGATTCCAAGACACATATCTGAAAAATGTCTGTAAAAATGCTGTCCTTTCAGTTGAAATACTAATTCCATCAAATCACTGAGTGGGTTTTCCAGAGTTCTCTTGTCTGTCTGTGTGCAAAATTGTGAGATTATGTAGTTGTCAGAGATCAGAAAGTAGAAGGTACCCGAGTGAAAACTGAACCAACACTTTCCTTCTACAAACACGCTTCACCTCATCTTGCCTCTTCTAAAATGATAGTATATATCATGGTATACATTCTGCTTTCATTCTCTACTTGAGAACAAATAGCATCCCACTCTGCCATTTATTTGAGGTGGAGTTGAGTGTTGATAATTGGCAATACTAAAGGAATGAACTCTCCACACCACTGCCAGATAGACAGTAAAGAGTAAAAACAGAGAAAAATTAACAGTATCATAGAGAACAGGAAGGCAAGGTAAGATTCTGAAGGGCAGGGGGAAAGAACACATAAGGAGATGGGGAGATAGGAAGGACGCAGCAGGTAAGCATAGTCAATGAGGCTTGGTTCTCTCTCATATTAGATTAATTCTAGTTGCCATCTTCGTGGATGTGCATTGTAAGATATTTTCATAATGTTGCGGTAAAAACAATTTAGAGTTACAAAGTTTACAAAGCCTTTGAGCTACTTAATTTAAAATGTGATTCACTTAAAGGACATAGTTACGTACCGCTTTTATAGAAAATAAGGTGGGCAATAGCTCTTACCTGTAGCCACGGGTGACTAAGAGATTTGTCAACACTGTAACGCTTTCTCATCTTCACTTGAAGCAAATTGTTTATTAAATC